GTTGTTATACATTTATCAATTGTGATCAATTAAACATATCTGGTTTAAAGTTAGAACTGAATATTTTTCTAAATATTCTGGTGGCTTTTCAATGGTCTACACTCAAGTATTAGAAATGTTTACTCCTGATGTGATATTTGGCTGGGGTTGATTCATGCCCCCCCCCCCAAATGGCTTTAGAAAAGAGTGAATGCTTCACAACCTGATATAAGGACATATTCATGCAGTTATTAATATGGTAAAAACTATATAAATGTAGAAAGAGACACAGTAACTCTTTCAGCCTAGAAGTCAAAGTGCATTCAGAGAAGCTTTCAAGGAGAACATTCCATTGGAAAGGGCTAAGGCAAAAGGTATAGCACCGAACTGCTAGTATATTTTTGCTTAAAGTTCTTACTGCTAATAAGACTGAGGAGTAGCTTACTGGGAGAAACTAAATATCTTTCCCTGTAGTTGTCCATGTGGTTAATCCTCCTGTACAATGTCACTTGCTTTTTAGGGAGACCAATGCTACCGAGTCAAGTCTTGACAAATACCATTTAACAAAAATAAGAATTTTATGTTGCAACACTGCATAATTTGTGGGATGTTTTCCTTTGTCAGAGTCTGGATGTTAGGCTCAGTTGCCAGGAACTGCTTAGCAAGGTAAATACAGAATGACGCTTACCTGGAGATCTACTATGTATGCTTTACAGTTGCTGCCCAGGCAAAACACTTGTTCTCCATCCTCTCCTGCACATGAGATGAGATCTTGCTTTGTGCACATATTTACATAAGCACAAGCAGATCGGGCTGTTTTGTCTTCAAACCCATATGAAATCCCACTATTATAGGTAACAGAGGGATCATACATGGCAGATCTGTATGTGCAAGGAAGGGATCACCACACCAGGCTGGCAGACTAATTATCCACACCCTGTGTGGTCAGGCTTTCATCCTTGCATCTCCTCTGACATTGCGGTCCATGCAGGATGCTTTCAGGCATGTCGCACCAAGCACATGGATGGCTTGTGACTATTGTTGTGAAATTTGCTAGCATTTATGAAAACATATACTTTGGCCACCTAATGAGAAGGAAGGACTCCCTGGAGAAGAGCCTAATGCTGGGAACAATAGATGGCTGAAGAAGAAGGGGACGGCAGAGAATGAGGTGGCTAGATGGAATCACTGAAGCAGTTGGTGTGAGCTTGAGTGGACTCCGGGGGATGGTGGAAGACAGGAAGGCCTGGAGGAAGGTTGTCCATGGGGTCACGATGGGTCAGACACGACTTCGTGACTAACAACAACAACATACACTGGAATACTTTTTTTAAATTTAAGACTGGAATGTCTTATTTTATTCACTAGTAAGAAAAACCTCACAATTTCATAGACTACTCAAGCAATGGGGAACATTTCTCAAACTATTATGCAACAAAAGAACATCTTGGCTAAGTACATAATGCATGTGTTTATCTTTCACATATGCAATTACTTATAGCAATTATTATATCCTTTTAATACAAACTCCAAGCAGAAAACATTCAAGATTTGTTCCCAAAACAAACCTAAGAATGAGATGTTAAACATTGTTGCTCTCTGAGAGCAGTGCTGCTACTGATCACATAAACATTTCTTAGACCAAATCACACAGTGATGTGATTTGCAGATTTTCACATATTCCACCAGCAGAAAGCAGCTGGCAAATGTCTTGGGATGCACTGCAAAAAGAAGAGAAAGGCACACAAGAATGGCCAAGTTGAAATACGGGGTAGTAAACAGTCATCGTTCAAAAACATTCAGCTAGATCTGTGCAGTGTAAGGCCATTGTGACATCCTTTGGCTCCTTGATTTTTTAATTTCCTCCATTTCTCTCTCTTCCACCGATCTACTACAAGTCAGAGTTTTACATTTTGGCTGATGTATGTCCATCATAACAATTGGAAATAACTTATCAGAACCCAGCAACCATCCTAAGGAATTCCATGGTCCGTGATGTGGTGCCATGGTCTTTTTTTGCATCCCTGCCAAATTCTGCTTTGAAGAACCTCTGGGCCCACATTCCAGTTTTGGGCGGCAGGGGGGCTCTGAAGGCAAAACACTAACAGTACTGGCATATTTGAGTTTCAAGTGCCTACTTCCAGTATGATGCCTTAGGAGAGGTATCTGAATCTTTGAAAATGGAGAAAACCATGTATGAAAGCCAGAAAACTACCAAGCAATTGGCGCTTTGAAAAAGGGGCATGCCCTTCTGATGAACCTGAAGGGACAGTCTGGGACTGGGCTTTCAAGGTTCCAAGGGTTTGCCTAGTTCTGCTTAGCAAGTCAGGCCAAAGGCTCTCCAGGTGCTTTACAATGTGGGAGAAAGGCAGGGGAAGCAGGATAGCATTTGCTTGCACAGGCCCACTTTGACTTCAGAGAAGGTTAGCCAATGACATCAAGAGATGGCAGGCAGATGTTGCAGAAGTGGTGGAAGTTTTTGCAAGAGTGAGAGGGTTGGAGTATTAGGATAGGTGTGCAATACTACTAGAGGAGGTCCAGGGCGTTTCAAACAATGTCCTCTGCAATTGGTCATTAAGATATTGTGTGCATGATGACCTTGGACTTGCTATGACACAGCAAACTTGCAGTTATATTTAGACAAATAATTCCAGAAATAATTCTAAATTAAGGAAAGTTTCCTTGAGTAAGGAACTGTGCCTTTTAAAACAAAACAAAACATGAAACGTCCAAGCCTGCTGTCAGGCAGAAGCTGTCTAATGCTGAGTTGTTTTCTGTTTGGAAGTTATTAAACTGTTCTTACTCCTTGGATCTGTAGTCTTGGCCACTTATGTTTTTTTAACTGTGCATGAAAAGTGCTTGACAGGCTCTGATGCCAGTAAAGTAGATTGTATACATAATGCATGTTGATTCTTGTAGTGCTCCTTGATCTGGAACAAATTTAATCTTGCAGTGACCTTTCTTAAAGTAATGTACAATCGCTGACAATGCTAAGTATCAAGTATCCATACTGAATATGGCAAACAGCAACTTCACGTTTGCTTTGAAGGGAAGCTCATGCTGGATCCCAAATGATAACATCTGAAAGATCATACCTTGATTTAATAAGCTGAGATGTGAAGAAATGTTTTGTCCACCCATGAAGATGCTGTTGCTCCTCCCTTTGTGTGAATAAACAAATAAACCAGGAAGTCTTCCATAAATTGTAGTTTCCCAGTCTATCTGGATAAGGAAACTGTGACTATCAGCTTGAGAAAAGGCCAGGATATTAAACTATAGTTTGACCTCAGCATCCTGCCCTGTTCCAAAGATTTCATCATAGTTGGTTCAAACAAAACGGGGGCATTTGGAAAACTCCTTGGGTTTTGTTTTGTTTTTTGCCAGAATCTGCAAGGGACTGCATACACAATCAAAAGGCTTTTTCATTTATTCGTTTATTAAGTCAAGTTATATTCATTGGAACTCCTTGGCTGCTAAGTGTGAAGATAAATGTAGCAAAAGGGGGAAGAGAGGGAATGTGAAATGGAGTCAAAGAGATTTGACAATATGCAAATATGTTTGAAATATAAAACTGATGTTTTCAATTCAGTATGCTGTTCTTGCTATACTAAAAGCCAACGATGTCTTGCAAAAAATCTTCATATATACAATAAAGCTAAAATGTGAGAACAATCTGCTGGTTCACATGAATCTGAAACACAGATTCTGGATGCATTTATGATGAATGAATCTGGACCTATTCTTTTGTAATAAAAATTAAGTAAGATGAAACATGAAATCACCATTCACACTTTGCAGTGAGCTTTTGCTATTTCGTATAGAAATCCAACCCATAAAAATAGGCTAAGAAATCTTGGAATAAACATTTCAGAGTAATTACCAATCTTTTCTTTTCTTAAGTGAAAATGAGATGAAAATGAATTTCTATTTGAGATATTTGTCAAATGTACGTTAATTTCTCTTACTGAAACATTAAGTTGTATAGAAGTAGACAGAGAAATTAGTACTCTTTCCCTTCATTATCTTGTTTACAGTTGTCTATATTTCTGATACCTTTTGATCTCCTTGTAGTTATCTACAAATACATCTATTTTCTTTTAAAAGTTCTAGGGGTCCAAAACCTCAGATTTGAGGGAGGGCAAAAATGACACTTCGGGGAACCCAGTCTTCAAGTACTCCACAGATGGCAATGCTGTCTTCTTCTTTCCCTGGAGCATCAATGGGTTGGTGGTTCCCCAGATTCGGAGCAGCTTTAATGGACTTAAATGCCTCACCCAGGACTTCTTAACTGACACAAAGAGCATTAAGCTAAAGTATGCTGATATTCTTGGCCCCACTTTTTTGTAATTGGCCCTGTCCATCACTGGAATGTCTCTCCCCCTATTCAACACCATCTAATATGACTAAATATTCAGTAACAACTCCCAACTAAGAGAAACAGGTATAGGGATGGTCATTAGCATTCCTGTTCCAAAAGAGATTGTTTGCTTGGTGATCCTGAGCAGGAACATATTGGTCCAATTCAGCATCAAAATATAACAGCAGAAAACATAATCCAGGGGAAGCCTTGAACTCACATACTCCAGCCTCCCCTCTTGCATATAAAGGGAGTTGATTCAGAAACGTCCACCTCTGGCTTGCAGTAAACCACAGCTTGCTATTATGCTGGCAAGTGGCAAGCCCCAGTTAATGCAAAGCATAGCTTGTTCTCAAATGAGAATTTGAAAGCATGGTTGGAAATAACATCTTATTCAGACTTCTGGGAGAGGGTGCATAGTATATAAAAATAAATGCACCAGCACAGAAAAACTAAATTGATTTTTATGCACATTGATACATATACGGTGCATAAAAAGGTGCCAATACATGATCTATTAAGCTCCAATTGGCATGCCATCAGCTGGTAGTTAGATTTCTGTTTTGCAGAGGGTTTCATAATTCTGTGCTCTAGCACATATTTGAGCATTATTTAAATTAATGTGACTGAATAACCTTTAATGTCCTTTGCTGTCTATCTGTAGGTTGGAAATCTTCCAAATGATTATATGATACCCCTTAAATATGTCCGGAAGATGGACAGCCTGGTATGTACCACCTCTTGCACTTTTATTCATAAGCTAACCAAGTGAGCCGTCAGTGGTTCTTGCTTTCTGATCTTATGAAATGTGACTAGTTGTTGCTGCTGGTCTTTCTAACTTCTATTAGTCAGAGTTCTAATGATACAAATGATGCAAGCCAGCCATAACTGAGTATTATTAATGCATGCTGATTTCTACGGGTAAGTTAAGTTTAAACCTTTTACATTAAAATGCAGCATGATACATTTTGACTGGATCGTGTCCCATATTTTTTCTTTAATCATCAAATGAAATACATTCTTGGTGTGTAAAGACAAGGATTAATATAGATTTTTGGTTTTAAAGGGATTTTCATTTTAGATCTTTTATGCCATGACTTTGGCATGGGAAAAGAGACGCATGTATATAATTATTATTTCCTCAATGGAAATCCATGTAAGACATTGCTGGAGATAAATAAGTGTACAACTATTTTAGTTGTGATAATTATTACTATTATCTCCTATAATGAATACACCAGGATAATAAAAAAATATTTTATTTCGCTGACATATATGCCTTGCTTCATTCTTTTCCTGCATATTTTGTAGTTCCTAAGCACCCCTTATTCTAATGTAATATTCATATTATTTTGGAAACATTTTGATGGTATTCTAAATAATAAACATTTGCACATTTTTCCTAAAAGATTATTCTTTGAGCTCTAGTAAGTACTCTTTTATTGATCCACTTACTAAGGAACAAAGAAACAAGGATGTCAGACCTTGAAATTTAATTTAACTATTCTAATTTTCATGCTACATGTTATGCATAGCAAAAATGAAATTATTTGATTCCTTAATTTGGCATACTCCATTGGATACAACAGGTAAATTTTCTAGATGCAAAAAAGTAAGCTAATAAAAGCTACTAAAATTAGTTACTTATAAATTATACTGTAGTCCTTTTCCTTTGGAGCCTGAGTTCACTTGGATGGCCTTTAACACATTCCTAAATCTGTCATTTAATCCAGAGAGGCAGTAGGGTTATCAGGTCTAGGCAAACTCAACAATAATAAACAAACCAGAAGTTGCAGAATTTGATTTTTTACAACTATGTGAGTACAGCATCATACTGTACTCAGAATGCCAACAGCAGATATATTAATCAAAAAATCAAACACCAATCCCATCAATTACCTTCTTTTTTAAAGTAGAATATGCATAATAATTCAACTGAACATTTTGTTCATTGAAAAACTCACTTCATGATATCACAGGGAACAAGCCAGTCAGTCAGGTAATCAACCAGTCAGCTGGCAACAACTGCAAACATGAATTATGTGTTTTCACCACGCTCAGACAGAATGGGATAAGGTGCAGCTTCACATTGACTCATCGCTCAGATTATGTACACTTGGACACATTCTCAGAGCTCAAGGTAAAACGATAGTCACACAGGGTGATGTACACACCTATTTCTTTGCTGTCCAGTGTGGACACCATGGACAACGTGCAAAATGTTTTCTCCAGTTTTGTACAGAGAGAATCTCATACGTTTCTCTGTATTTTTAATGCTGCCTTAGTTATCTTTCTTATAATCCAGGAGGTTATGGATTGTGTCTAGGGATGTTGGAGAAATCCACAATGAATTAAAATGAATTTGATTTCTATGAATCCAGCCCATGGATTCTGTAGTAGACCAAGTTTTTAAGCCATGCGGATTCTACAGAATTATTTTGTTTGTTCGTTTCCTTTTGAGAATGGTACACAAATTTGGCCATATACAAATATGGAAAAAACAATCCAAATGTACTTTTCCTCTATAGGCTGAAATTTGAAAAAGCAGATATGGGGAAGATTTACATATTTTTCAATCCCGCTGCCTGCCACTTTTGAGGATGTTGTGCAAATTTATCAAGTAATGTGTAGCAGCACTTTTGTGCAAGTGTGCCTTAGCTTACATGTAAATTAATGCAAGTAGATTGAATTCTCCTACAAAAAAATCCAATTAGAAATCTAAAGAAAGACCATGGGGCGTAGTGGTTAGAATGTCAGACCTTGAGTTTCTCACAAAATGGTGGGATGCAAACAGAATAAACAAAATTACATCAATTAACAGAAGATTGAATAAAAGATACTTGTCAATCTGCAAAACAAAGATTGTATGTGGATTGCCCTGCCATTTGTTTCTGTTGTCTGCTAAAAACATCTAAACATGCTTCTTTTGAATGGCCAACCATGATTTTGTTACTATAACTTGATTTTAAATAATTTATTCTGTTATAATTTAATTTCTCACACTATCTTTACTCCTCACCATTCAGGAATCTTGCTGTAGGCACAGATCAGTAAATAAATAAATGAAAGAATGAGGTTTCCATATTTCAAAGTAGCATATCACTGAATTGCATTTGTTTGAGGGTGGAAACTATTACCTTCATATCCTGGTAATTGTCTTCCTTGGCCATCTGGTCAGCCACTGTGGGAATCTAGATGATGGACCTGATGGGCTTTTGTTCTGGTCAAGCTGGGCTTTTCTTTAGCTCTTATGCCAGAGATTCCACAGGCTTCTTCTGGTCTCCAAATATGTGTGAGGTTGTTAACATACCCACACTTACTAATAGAACTGTGTGTTGTTATTGTACTTAGAGTGAAGTTTTCTTACTAGATTATTCTGTATCTTAAATGAAGAACACATGGGCATTGCAAAAATTGAATTAATTGTGACAATAGCTAGATCAGACTTATGTGTAACCACAGAAATAGTTGTTCACAAATTTCATTTGTGTGTTCACTGATTTCACACTGCCTTTGCCAGCACAAGTGAACTCCTTGACTTTGATGCAAAAGAAAGCCAAAGCTGTGTTATAGTATTCTGATAAAACTGTATATCAGACAATTGAAAAAGATTTGCTTAGAGTTCTCACTTACTAAACTAAAATCAATGGGAAAGTGGATCAAAAGCAATAGCTTTCAGTCAATCAAAGAAATGTGTTATTTTGGGCACAAAATCAAAAAGTATGCTGCCAGCACAAATCTATAAAAGAAATTCAGTGAAATTGTAGACTGCATTATATAGCAAATGACTTCCAGCTGATCTTTTAATTTTTCCTGGCCAAAAAGCAAATGTGTAAACTTTTTGCTGCCTAATTAAAAGCCTAATGAAATGTGCTTGTTGGCTGGAAAAGTGATAAACTTGGTTTGAGTGTGTGTGAGGAAGCGACAGGCAGAGTGCAAGGATGTGGTCAAAGAGATAGGGCAGATTCATTTTTCACCATGCCTAAGCTGTGTCGGTATTTAAAAGGTGCTTTTAAGCACTGCCAGTTCCAGGTTTTGAGCAAGCCTCAGGCAAGATGTTCTGCGTGGATCCACCTCCTCCCCACTATGCCACTATTTATCTGCATGTGTTTTTCTCCTGGACACTGCCAATAAGACGTGCAGAAGTCACTGCTCCTTTCCTTTGTCCTGCTCACTCTTTCAGAGGGGAAGGTGAATGAGAAGCCCCAGGGAACAGAAGGATACTGGGAACTGGCAGTGCACCCTGCTGGAATGTGGGCCTTGGCAGTTGCCCTATCATGCCCACTCCTGACACCAAACCAGCATTTCGCAGTGAAATCTTCCTTGAACATGATGTTTGTTAATATAAATTAGCCTAGGGGCTGCTGTATTAATACTTTTGACTTCACTGGTCAGGCATGCTATGTGAAGGATGAATTCAGTTGCTTTCTCTAACTGCCCTCTCCTAGTTGCACCTTTTTGCATTTGCTATGAATTTTAAATGTGGGACAATGTGTGTGTTAAAACTTCTTGTGTCACAATGTGGAAGTGTAACATTCCTAACATACCACAGGATTACAAAAGCAAATGTGCAGTAAGTATGCATATGCATGTTCCTTAAAACAACGCAAAGGATGTACAAATTGATAAGGAAATTGTACTGAAACATTGGTCATGATATTGACCAATATCTTCTTAAATGGCCTTTTTCTGTTTCTTCTTCTAGCTTAAATGAACCTGCTAAGTTAGTTTTGGTGAGTCTCTCACTTTGAGCCAGCAGCCATTTAGAAGCTGTGTTTGATGGTTTGTTTTTGTCGTATTCAGAAACTTGTAGTAGCTGGAAAGTGCCAGCCACATTTTACAAATCTCAGGTCATACACAACTGTATTTAAAAAAATACTTTTGTAAGCCAGGTGCATCTATTTTATGACCCACCTTTTTCTGTTATATGATGGGTCGATGCTCATTAAAAATGTGATGGTAAAACTTAGGCTAGGCTTGTTAAATCTCTTTCAGTTTGAGCGCCAAATGCCTCTTTGGAGAAGCTCTTCATGAGAAGGGAGGAGGCAGCATTACCATGATAGGTGGGATAAAAGGCAAAGGGGATCAGATAAAACCCCATATATTTTAGCTTAAAGCTATTATTTCTATTAATTAAGCTTTAGAGGAGTCATTCAACCTTTTAGAATGGGGAGAAACTTGAACAAAGCTGGTAAACCATCAGGAGAAGAAGGTGAGACTGGCAGAATGGGCAGAGTTCCAGAATTCTGGAAGCCTGGATCAGGTGTTCCACTCGGGCCTAGTGTTTTTATCAAACAAATAGTCCCGCTACTGTTCTGCAGCTGCAGAGTTGCTTTTTCTCCTACACCAAGAAAACTGAGGCAGAGTAAGTTGTATGATTCATGTTAATTCTCATTAGTTTCCAATCCTAGGATCTAAGCGTCCAGTCATTCCATTTCAGATATGATATAGGTCATGAAACGAAGAAACAACTTGCACAGAGGTCTTGGCAAATGTAGCCACGTCCTCCATGCATATCACCCGGAAGCCCTATTCTACATGGAGCTTCTCCCCACATTAAATTAAATGTAGACATTTCTGGGTAGGGCAGCTCTGGAGTTCTTGTTACCCAGCTTAACAGATTACTAGACTGGGATAAAGCATAAGAGGGAAATGATGAAGCATAAGAGGGAATGTTTCAGACTGACTAAAGGATCTTAAACTGCTTTTTGTTAGGTGGGAGCCAGTTTGTGTTCCTTTACTGGCAAACTGCTCTTTGATCCACCAGATGCTGCCATGAAAGGGATAGATAGGGAAAGCAGTTTTGGTGGTTTCCTCTTCCTCCTTCAACGTTCCACACAATCTCCTATGTTGTTCCAAAGTGTCTTCCAACCCTACAAAGCAGTTGGGGAAAGGCAAGGTGTTTGAGAGGAAAGGGATATTTCCAGAACTTGCTCATTCTTTGTTCCACTGACAGAAAGCCCTGTACTTTCAAAGAGCTTCCTGTCAGCTGACAGGTAAGCCCATAGAATGCAACCAGTGCCCTAATGCTTGCCACTGAGATACACAGATTCAATAAATAAAAGGGGATATAGTACTGTGTAATGCTTTTCCCGGTTAAGTTGCCTTTCTGGTACATAATGTGAAGATGCATATCTTGTTCAAAAGCATAATAGTCTAGTGGTCATGATGTAAGAATGTGCAAGGTCTGCTGTAGATTGTAACAGACAGAAGTATAACAGAGGTTAAATGCTAGTTGTGATTTTTTGACAACTCTGAAGCTGGTAGGCGCAGGGATATAGTAGAACTGGCAACATGCACTGTCAGTCACGGCTGACCTAGTTATGTTAAGGATGGTTGTCAGGAATGCAAAAAAAGAACTTGAGAAAACAGCAGGCAACCTAATGGCAGTTGAATTTCAATTTACAAAGTGCAAGCTAATACCAATTGAAAAGGACATGTTAATCCACTTTTACACATTTTAAATTACTTTAACAGTTGCTGTTGTGAAATGTAATCTATCTTTCTTTTTTCTCTGTATTACCCCTGACAGCCAAATAATTGTTGGTTGCATTTGATGGTCCCTGAATTGTCAAAGAGTCTGAATAATCTTCTCAGCAAATTTAATGAATCTTCAGATATGCCAAATGTCTTGAGTAATTATTCAATCATCAATAATCTCAGAAGAATCATCAATGATTTAATGGCATGCCTATCATCTACAAAATATAAGGTAATAATCTAATATTGATCTGTCCTCTCTACTGCTAAATATTAATACATGGCAGTCACGTGTATAGACTAGACAATCATAGACAGTGTTTTGCAAAAATTATCTTGTCACTGTGATCACATACCATCCTTCTTGCACCTTTGTACTCATTCTTGTCTTCACCTTTAAATATTTCAGTCCTCCTGCAACTATATTTCCTTGCTCCAGCCTCCTATTTACATTTCAACATCTTTTTAACTTACAGTGCAATCCTATGTAGATATATAAACCCACTCAGAAATGAGCCCTCTCAAATAAGTTCATATATGACTGCAGCCCTACTATCTGATAGGAGATACAGCATTGGTGTTTTCATATGATTAGGTTCTTTATCTTCTCAAAAAGTGGAAGCAAGATCTAAAGAACGAGGCAACTAACTCCATGTACCCAAAATAACTTTGGACATCCAGAAAGCTACTTTTGAAATTCAGAAGATTTTCAAAAGCAGTTTCTGGTATGATAGCATGTAGATTGTGTTGTTGTTATTGTTGTCCTCATAAGTAAAAATGTCACTATTGATATTTGAGACCTGGAGCGTGCCTAACACAGTTCTATGGAAGTTGCCTAGGAACTATTATTCCCCAGATCCAAGATACTTAGACATACAAAATAAGTTCTCAAAATGGTAACCCTTATTTTTACTAGCTTGCTAGTTGAGACACTTCAGTATTTGTGGCATAAAAAGAAGAATCAGTTTACATAACGATTACCTGGCTGGTTTTGTGGAAGATTTGTTTAATCACTGTAGATGCCTCGGTTTGCAAGACTAAAGTATCATAGCCAAACAGCCATTTACATGTTGGTTACATTCACGTAATGGAATGGGTTTGATGCAACTTTCTGATTTGCACTGTTTTACATGGTGGAGAAAGACCATGCCTGACATTTGTGTTCTCTTTCCAAGGTCACAGAATTTTGGCTCCACTTGGTCATTACAGTATAATAAGATGTGCACACATCAATTTTCATGCACACTCATTAGAATATTATGCCCCCATATGGATGTTCCATGATAGTGATACAGGGCTGATTTTAACATATTATATTGTGATGTGTTATTTGTTTTGTTGTAAACCACTCTGAGAGCTTTGATAGCTGTGAACCATATACAAAAGTAGTAAATAAATAAAGAACATCTATTTGCTCTTGCTGTCACCATGAGAAAAGTCTTGTTCAATTCAGTTCAATGTATCACTTTGCATTGAGAGCTAAAGGAGGCATTGCTTTAGATCAGTATCTAGCAGTTATATCTTTTTTCTTTTAAAAGTTTTTTTAAAAAAATGTTTAAAACATTTAGAATATAAAGTAGGTGCCTGGGCACCCAATCTGGATTGCGATCCTTTTGGAGCTTTTAAATGCAAGATCGGGTACCCTTTGCCAAAAAGGCACAACTGCTAGATACACATTTAAAGTGCATAAATGTATTTATGTATTTAAGTTGTACCCTACCTTTCCAACAAGGAAATGGTGTTGTGGGTAGCTAACAATCATAGGAATTTGTAAACAAATCAATAAAACAATAATAAAACAAATGCTTTAAAATACAGGTATAACAGTACCCAAAAGAACAATCCAGCCTATGTTCAAATATACAGAGTCCTATCGACTATATCATTCGGGTGGGAAAGTAAAATATCACATAAGTATAGAGTATTAAGGATGTTCCACCCTAACATGAGGAACCATATTATTCATGGCCCATTTTTAATTTACTGCTTAACTTTGCAAAGTGAAAAAAACTAATTACAAAGCCAAGGATTAGTTTTTCTGTCAAGGAAAATACTGCCAACTGAATTTGACGTTTGTAATTTACAGTTTAACCTCTTAGGTTGTGCCACCTGTTACTATCTGGCTAGTAAGTGAGGAACTCATGTGGATATCCTTTTTACTTAGTAGACAATTTGTGTTGCACAATGATAAAAGTTACCTGTATTTCTTTTCTTTTTTTAAAAAAAGACTATTTAATTTTTCTCTAGAGTTTTAGACAACATAATGACCACCTTTATGAAGAAGGCAAATTTATTCCAGCAGAATTCTTTGAGCACTTTTATAACATTATCAGTGTGTACAATATCTTTGCAAAATCACAAGTGCAGAGTGATTGTGTTCTGCCATCAACAACAGAAACACTCTCAAATGGTAAGATGTCTTTTCTGTACAGTAGCAACCCCAATTGCCAAAAAGACTTCCATGCCTGTAATGGTGTTGTACCCATTCCTGTTATCATGCATAGATAGTTTCCATTGCTAAAATGTACATGGTAACCTTCTTATGTCTGTATAATCCTACTCACCTTTGCATTAAACTACCGTCACCACGTTTAATTTCTATGTGAGCTTTCCGTCCTATACAAGTAGCAGATGGTAGGACAAAGATAGAAGCAGGGACAAAGTCTAAAGGCTTCTGTTACACAGGCTCTGAAGCCAGACTGAAGACTCCAAGTCTGCCATTTACATGCCTCTTAAAACCACCCATGCAGATGATAGATGTTTAGATGTTCTACTAATTCTCAGAGGTTTTTCACAGCCATGACATACTATAGCAGGGATGTAGCAGAGCCTCCAATTGGGAATCCCAGCCTGGCCTCCTGAGGTTTCACAAGTGTCCCGAGATGCTTTTCTCTGGCCCACTCATTTCTCCCACAGCTGATCATTTGGTGGTTTCCTGTGTTTTCTGTAGCTTCCCCCACCCCCACACACCAATTCTCAAAGAGTGAAAGCTTCTCTCAGAGTTTAGTTATGGTTAGGAAGAACATAAATCTAAAACATGTTTTTTTTTTGGAGGGGGGCAGGATTTTGGCCCTTATTTTGCCTTTGCCTGTCCTCATTTTTCTTTTCTTTTTTTCTACAGCTGCAGTGCAGCTCCCACCCCAACATCTCTTAGCCCTTGATATGAAAGAAGTTCTGAATCATAAGGACACAAAGCAAGATCTGTATATTTTCAATGTCGTAATCAGTGAAACCAAATTTAACCACTCCATTAACCAATGGTGGTTACTCACTTCTGATCCATTTTATTTGCAAACACCTTCACAGAGTTGACAAAATGCCGTAATGATTTGCAGCTCCCTCAAATGCAGAGCCCTGATGTAATCCTTCTGTCTTAGATTCCAGCATCCATGCCACAAACCCATTTCTGTTACATCCTGTTGAAGCCAGCTCCCTCAGGAATGCCAGCATCAGCAGTGATACCAACAGTAAGTGTAAATGGTTGTCCTTGCTAAAGATGCAAATGAATATGTTGTGCAGGTTGCTTTACATCATCAGTGTCCATTGGTAATTATCCATTTTATTACTGCACAGTAACTGTTAGAATTAATACAACTCAGGCCGAAAAGTAGAGTCCACGATATAGTGAGAGAGGGAACATTCGGGCTTGCTTTTTTGGTTCTTGCTTATTGGTGAAAGTTTACTTTTCTATAAAGTATAGAACAACTCTAAGTCAGAAGTCTAGAAGAGTATTGTGTACAAAATCTTGATTGCATTCAATAAAAATTTGCAATGTGGCATTCACTGTTCCAGGAAGTCAGGCACACTTTGAGGTTTGTTGCTGCAATCTGCTTTAAATGCAGTTTTTAAAAAATAGATTGAGTGTTGGTTACAGTTTTTTAATAGAAGCAGTTCTAGAAAAAAAAGAATATAGCTGTTTTAAATTATTTGAAATGTTTGCATGTTTTCATACCTGTTCCAGGATCCCTTGAGTCTATTTATGAGAAAGGTGCCTAATAAATGTAATAAATAATTACTCAAATGAGGCATGTACAAATAAATAATACCTTGGCTTTATACATTTCCAAAGGTGTGAAAATGCTTGATATGTCTCAAGTTCTGTGTTAAGATCCTGTGAGAGTTTCTTAGCAGCTGATAACAGAAAGAGAGAGGCATGTTCTGCTATTCCCTCTCATTAAAAAACTCTAAATATATTTCTGGAAGGCATCAGGGATACTAAGGCATTAGCAAATATCAACCCCCTCCCTTAACTTAGCAGTGTCTGCTGACTCACTTTTCATGTACTTCCATTCATGAAAAGGTTGCTTTTGTCAGTGAATGATACTTTGAAATCTAACCCTTGATCTTGTAATCTGGTGGCATAATATGAACTGAGGTGGTGGAACACTTACCTGAGATACCTGATCTAGTGCTTCTTCAAGACTCAGTTCTCAGACTCAGTTCTCAACCATCTTCAGTCTAGCCTAATGCTGTATGGAAAATGTAGGTCTATGAGGTAACTTTTTCTATACTGCTGATTCATAGGCAAGTGATCATCTAAGGAAACTTTCTCACATTGTAAAGTTAATTTGCCGAAAAAGTATGACTTCCTTTTATTAACTCTTTCTTAACCAATCCTAACCAAGGATTGCAGAACTGTTGCTAGGTCATGCTTCTAAGTAGGACAGTACTGAGAAGTCAAACTAAAGATCAAAAGAAATACATTTTCCCCCAAAGGCCAAATGGAGAGGCATGGGGAAGATCTGAGGCCAAATTTATAATGACAGTAAATGCTTATTCCCTGATAAAATACACAGCAGGTATGCAATTGATCTTTGGGAGCCGAGTAATTATCCAAGAAAACATGCAGCAACTGCTCAGCATACATCCCTGGGCATGTGATTTTTAAGGACTGAAAATAAGCTGAGATAATTATCTCTGTCTTTATTGTGTGAATTGATAGCTAATTCCATGTCCTCCAACAGTACATGTAGCAATTACTCTGTATGCCCCTAGGTAGGTTAAATATCCAGGGAGGGGGAGAGAGAGAGAGAGAGCTCTAGTGGAATGAATACAGCTACTATCATAAAGAAGGAGGATGAGATGCATGTGCAGGACAGAAGAAACTTCAGTCATTTTGTTATTTTTTCTCCAATGTGATTTAAAAATTACAGGGCATTATTTATGTATTTAAAACCAATACTTAACATTCATGTTCTGCAGCCATTCTACACTTTAATGAAATAGTTTTGAAAGAACATTGAGTTGTAGTTTGGTACTTCAGACACACTAGGAGTGATTAAAAAAAAGATTCTGTTGAATTGTCATCAGTCCTACCTTCCGCTCATAAAACTTCATTCCAACAAATTCTGTAAATTTGATGTAAGGTAAATATAGGCCTAGAGTGTCAAAACAAAACATGAAGGAAATCCTTGATCAGTATTTGAAACAAGACCACCCAAAACTAACACAGAGACTTCCATATTCTGTGGCTTCTTTGGGTAGGCAAGAGTATATTATTTCGTAGGCAGTCATCTCAGGCACCAGATGTTGGGAGGTAGCAGTGAAGTGTTAGAGGAGAGAGCCGTCTGTGCCAAACAGTCTGCCCTGTTGCCTTCAGCTGTGAGGGAGAATGTTGTCCCATGCCAGTCTTGAAGAAAGAACGGCAAGGCAAGGCAAGGCAAGGCAAGGCAAGGCAAGGCAAGGCAAGGCAAGGCAAGATGTCTTGTGCCATAAATATTTCAGGAGGAGATGGAAGGGTAATGGGCATGTTTCCCCTTTTCAGCTCTTCAGAAAACTCCATCCCCTCACTATATAGCAATAAAGTGTTCTGATTCAGGGTTGGTGGGATGTGCTGAACCTGAGCCATTTAGCACTATGTAACACAGCAAGCGAATGTTTCAGGAACATAGGGAAAAACGGGAAAGTTGCCCTTTCTCTTCTCTCCCATGAGCTACACAAGGTCTTTTTCCAGGTAGGCAGGAGACCCACAAGGGACATGACTGCACCACAGCACTTTGTTGTAGGCCCCTTTTGGTTTCAGAGGATCTCATGAGCCAAAATTCTAGTGAGCGCAGCATGAAGTCTGCCCAGAGTGCAGTCCCAGAATGAAAGATGACAAACAAGATGAGAGAAGATACCATCTAGGAACCTGTTTAACAAGCAGGCTGGGACACGGAGCCAAGCTGAGTATCAAATAGTCAAGAGCCTTGTTTAAAATATGTTCCAAAAAGAGCACTTTTGGTTCAAGCATCTTGCTGACTTTCCTTTTTGGATGCAGTGCAAAGCAGAAGTTAGAACACGTCGCACTGCTGCCTTTTTGTCTTCTTCATCTTCTTTAGTGAAATATGAATAGTCACTTCGTTGCCTTCCCATTCTTCTTTCAGAAGTCTGCTGTATTCATTGGTATTCTCTGATTGGCCTCTGCCTCAGAAAGTGCATTTCACAAACTCAACTCGTTCTTATAATGAATCATCGCCCTCTGACATTTGGGTTGTGGCTTGGCACTAACAAGTCCATTCAGAAGACACCCTGGTGAACTCTGTGGCTACATGCCTGCAGACAGAACCTTGATGTTCCCTGTTAATGCGGGGGAAATCCTTGTAATTACGTTGGTAAAGATTGGCAATTCTTTACACACTTACACTTTCCAATAAATGGAATTGGTATTACATATTTGCTTTTCTGTTCCACTTTTAAAATTTATATCACCATATTAATAAATGAGTGTTGAAGCAATATAGATCTAAAATCTCATTCTAATTAATTCAATTAATCCTTGGATGACCAATATGGCAACCAAACAGTATGAGCGTCTCAGTGTTAATTTTTCAATTTAAACAACCTTGCCTGGCTCCAGAATGGAATATGCTGCCTTCTTGAAGAGCTAAAACATCATGACTGATCACTTAAGCAGAATCAGAGTTTCTCTACCTACTAAAAACTATTATCAGTGACATGGAATTTCCCCCCATCCAATGGAGGGTTTTATTGTTATTTTTGACAATGCAGCCATGAAATCTGTAAAGCAAAGTTGCACTGGAGGACCAGCTTCCCAACTATTTCTTTTTGTTCATTTTCCATGGGGGGGGGGGCGGAAATGCACAGAGGAGAACAGTTAAGAAGTCCCTTTTTCTTCTCCCTCTTCTCCATTCAAATCCTTCCACTCTCATTTATAACTTTGGTTATAACATTTTGTAAAACAAAATACCACATGTAGTTTGTCCCTTAGTCCCTTTGATACTCATAGATGAAAAACTGTAAGAGCACAGACAGAGATGTAGCAAGTCAACCTTGCCATTAAGTAGAGTGAGAAATCCGTCTTAGGTGGCAGCTGCTAGGAGGCAGGGAACAGCAGCAAAGTTTGGGACAAGTCGTCTACACCATCCAGCTGCCCTCTACTTGATGAACTACATTTCTGACCTCAGACACAGGAGAGGAAACTGTTCTGTTGCCATTTGTAAAGTAAGATTCATACCGCCTGTCCAACCCACTAGCAGCCCTCACAGAAAGTGGAAGATGGCACCATCTTGTCCTTCACTCCAGGTAGCAAACTGTAAACATGTAAAGCATGTTTACTTTCCTTTGGCAGGAATCATAGCTCCAAGAAAACTAGAGCAGTAGTTTTTTAAGTGTATTATTCAAAAACTATAAAAGCTATAATTCCAGTGCGTACTTGAGATGTACATTTCCAGATGAGCACTTGCCAGCAGCTCCTTTTATAGTGAAATATTCCACACTGGTACAACAATTTGGCCAGGGTTTTTTTTTTTTTTTGGCATGTTCCACTTCTGAGAACTATTGTCCAACATTTCTCTACAGAGGTCATATCTCATACTCTGAAAATAATAAGTTTATCTAACATTTCAGATAACCTTCCAAAGTTTAAATGATTTAAAATAATATATAGGCCTGCTTCTATTCTTTGGTCTCTTGGTATACATTAAAAACATACTGTAAACAAAAAAGTCACCATTGATCAACATATTTTTGTAACTAAAGTTACATTTTCGTAACTGTAATCCACATGAGTTTTTGTTTTCCATCAGGGATTATTGTTAAACTGTAACTGCGAAATGAATTTTGAAAGGGATACCATCCAATGTGAATATTTTACATCCAGCGGTTGAAAAAGTGAGTGTGCCTGCACTCACCCAAGAAACACTTTCCTGGGAAAAAATTCCACTGGACTCAATAAAGAAATTCTTTCTGTGTAGACCTCCAAAGAATGACATTACTGTAGATGCAGAAATCAGGAAATGTGGAAAATGAAGGGTGGAAACTGTAATTGTTATGTAATTAAGCTTCTTATGGGTTAGCTTAATTTTTCTCCTCATTACAGTGTAGGGTGGGGATGGTTATGAAAAGCAACTTTTTCACATGCTACCAGTGCTTTTCTGTGCATCTAGCAGTGTTGACTTTACAGCTAGTCTTGCCTGCCCAGTACATTGCTCCTGTTACATTTGGTCCATCTAGCCTTGAGATGTAGAACCCCTGAATTCCAATTCCGAGAAGCTCTCTGCAATACCAAAAATACCAACATATTTTACTTTGAAACTTTTGCACTTCCAGTAAATAAGCCTTAGGCAAAGCATTTCAACATTTTACAGTAGAGGAGAACCTGCAGGAAACAATGAAAAAATCAAAGCCAGGAAACAATGAAAAAATCAGTGACTGGAGGGAAAGAGATGGGACCAGGTAAAGGGGATTTTGAACATCCCAGAGGGTTGGATTTTAGCTCAAGACCTGAGATGCTGCGCCCTTGCAACTTGGCCTGGCAGCAGACCTCTTTAAGGTCCTGGCCTGACTTGCTATCCAATATCCTTTCTGGACATGCCAGTCTGGGATTAGGGATGTCATGAAAAATTGTCTTAGCCTGGCTTGAGAATTAACCCCAGGGATTTGAAAGACCCACCTCAAAATGGGATATGATATTTCCAGTTTTCATATCTTTCTCTATATGGATTCCCATCTAGGTGCTCAGGAGATGATGTCCTAGTCCTCAAACACACTCCCTTATACTGTTTTCCCTTAACTTGTTGGTGAAAAGCAGCAACAGTGGGGAAGGGCAAATTGAGACCTTATCTTAATCTTTTGTTCAAACTGAGACACACTCTGGATACAGTGAATTATGGGGAAAGGAGTTCTTCCAACAATGGCATCTCCAGAGTCCACCAACAACCTTCGACACACTTGGTGTGATCTTGAAGCTGTGGCTGTTTCAAAGCCTGTCGCTGTTGTAAGAACTGGTGCGCACTTTCCCACACAAGGAATTTATTGTACATTCCTGAACCTTCGCTCGTGGATATTTGCAAATGCTTTGCATTATGTTATCATCGTCAAGGGCTTCTCCTTCTCATATTTCCAGCTATGTCCATGGCTTTTTTTAAAAACAAGGAAAATTCAGTATTTTTCTGGATGCCACTATTATTTAATGTATTTTAAACTTAATGTATGTTCTCAGGTCCACTCTATGCCACTTTGTGTTGTGTAGGAAACATAGAAAGGAAAACTGGGAGGGTAAAGGGCTTCATGTAAGATGGAATTACTTCTCCTGCAAAGAAAATGGATAAATAAGTACAAGACCTCAGAGACAGATACTTAAATTATTTATTCTAGGTCTTCATCAAAAGAGAAACTGAAACAAACCAAATCCTCAGCAGTTATCCTAACTTTTCCCTCCACCTCCTCCCAGCAGTTTTACATGCCAAAACTATAAGCTTTTCCCTCCACCTCCTCCCAGCAGTTTTACATGCCAAAACTATAAGCCAAAAAACATGTAGTTTTCCTATCAGAGTACCATATTTACTTACATCTTTTTTGACATAGCAGAAAGGATTCTGGAGCAAAACAGTTAAGAACAGAATGTGGCTTCGCTCAGTGGCAGAGCCCAGGTGTGGAGGAGGGCACAAGGCAAGACACTCTCCGTGCCCTTCCCACTGCCCTCCCTACCTCCCTCCTCCCTCTACTCCCACTCCAGGCTCTTCCTCATCATCTCTGCACAGGCTTGCTTGCCAGACACTGGACAGGCAGGCAATAGCACTAGTGCTCCTTAGCACCATCGGTATTTGCTTCTAGTCACCACTCAGAGTAACAGGTGGGTGAGCAGGCAAGTTGCAAGTAGTGCAGAGGAGGATTGGGTCCGCAGGATGTGTGCCCCAAACACATGGTCATATTGACCCTATCCATGGTCAGTATGGATAATACCAAGGCAGACAGAACAAGAGGTCTGACTCAGCCTGAAGCAGCTTCCTAATAACAATGTACAGAAGGTGCTGTGTGTTTTTCCCTCTTTACAGAACTTTCACCTTTTATCTACTGCGATTAGTTTGCATGGTGTAAAATAACCACCTTCCAATTATGCAAGCATGAAGTATCTGTTCTGCTTGACTAAAATTTCCTTTTAGAGCTGGCACACCTGTAAGGTCTAAACAAAGTTCAAGCAGAAATCTGATTTAAAAAAAAAGATTTAGAATCTAAGGCAGCTTGATAAATGCTAAGTTGTCAGGCTGTCTCTGCGGTGAGGCTTGAGAAGTGGTTTGAACTGGAGTAGGCAAGATTTTTGTGTTAGAGATAAAGTGGGCAATAAAATCTCTTAAGCAGCCGAAGTGGTTCCTAATGAATAGCAAGACTACAGCAAGGAACTAAAATGGCTAATATATCAAGTAGCAGAGTATAATGGCAATTCTTACCAGCTACACATCTTGTTCCTCAGTGGCTTTAATTTGATTTAGTTTACATTGAGGTTTCGGCCACTTGTCTACAGAAAAAGAAGCAGAACTAGGTGATACTGCAGGAGTGGAATATGCTATTCACCTGCACTGTAACAGGAATAGCTGGGCTTTGCATTGAGCCCCATGCAAGCCACTGCCTGACAGATTCACAGTGCAACCCTAAATACTCCTTCCAAAGTGAGCTTTACGTAGTTCTGTGGGATTTACTCTCATGTAAGGTACATAAAATTGCAACATTTGAGACTTTGAACAAGACTTGACCTCAGCACAATAGACAAAGCATGAGATCTACAGGGCACAACTACCTAGAATATTTCTGCTTAAGAAGCCAGTAATCAGTGTTGTGCAACTTTGTACAGACCGGTAGATATGTCACTAACACAGTTCTAAACTGTACAATGAGGTGGAAACAGAAGTGTGTGCACAAATGTGCTTTCTGTTTGTGGCATGTTCAGATACATTGGATGAACAAAAAGGAATAAAATTTTAAAAATAAATTGCTGATCTCTCCAGCAAGTATTGCCATTGATATGGAGATGAGTGCAACCCCAAAAGCCATTTCAGCTAGCAGAGTAAAAAATCCACAGGGACTCCTTTCCTTTCCTTTCCTTTCCTTTCCTTTCCTTTCCTTTCCTTTCCTTTCCTTTCCTTTCCTTTCCTTTCCTTTCCTTTCCAGCAAATATGAAGGAACACAATAGAATGAGCAAAGACAGTGTGCAAATGGTGATAGGAATGTGCCTTTTGCGTTGAAATTGGATTTTGTGATTATAATTACTGAATACCATTATTGGTTGCATTTTTGTGTTCAGTTCAACAAAACTTACACAAACTACTGCTATATTGCTAATCATAAGTGCAGACTGTCCATTGGGAAGTGTGTGTACTTTGGTCAAGAGCACAGCACGTTTGCACGTACTGTGCTTCTCCAAGTAGATTGGAGAAGAGGGAAATCCCCCAGGGTCTTTAAAACTTAGATTTCTTTATCTCCTGGGAGTTCATATACGAAGCCTGGTTGTTAAACTGGCTTACAGGGGTGAAAGGGAGGGGCATCCTTAGCTAAAATGTTGGTAAAGAGGGAAGAAGAAAATAGTTGGTAAACGTTGCTCTGCAGATGGTAAAAATCTGATTGCACAATTGCCAGAATGTTTGCCTTTCCGGAGTTAGTGCAAATAAAGCTGTGAATATCAGGCAGCCAAATACTTGCTAATGACAAACAAACCACTTTAAAGGTTTAACTTGTCTACAAAGGTGCTAGTGAACAAATTACCTTTTATTAACAATGCTGCTCCAAAGACTTACATGCAATTTAAAAGAAAATGTGTTGAATTACAGAAACAGAACTGGACTTCCTCAGCGGCCCCAGCATGCAAGGAATCAGCATAGCACTCACATCGATGGTGACTCTTTTTATTGGCTTTATTTTGGGAGCTCTATGCTGGAAGGTGAGAAATATCAAATTTAAATATCAAATTTAGTGCCTAAGAAGGCACTAACTTAACCTCTGTGAAAATAAAAATATTGTGGTGGAAGTATAAAAGCTATAATGGTCAAGTGATCAAGTTTTGAAGTGTTCATTTAATCTGAAGTAGAAACAAAACATACCATTTTTAAAGATAGGTATCCTGATCCATTAGGAGAAACAAAATAGAACACAGGTTGGCTATAGTCTGTAATCCCACTGAAAACAATGGAACTTATGTTACTCATTGATTTATATGAGTAAATCATTGATTTATACCTCTTGAGGTATGACTAGATCCAATCCGTGTAAAACTGTACCTTTATTGAGACTGGCCCAAAATTCACAAAGGAATGAACAAACCCTTCAAAGAATCAAAGCATCTTGGGATTAGTGTCTTCCAGTACATTATGGAACATTACAAAAATTGAATGTAGGTTGGTATTTCAATCATGTCTCAGGGTCATTGCATGTGTATTATGGATGGGTTTTAGTGTCAACAATCATTTCAAAATGATAAAAGCATTAATGGCAGTTTTCATGTAGAAAGCTACACCAGTCACACAAAATTTTGCCCCCCAGTGAGTCAACATGACATTGATCCATCTACTCCAGTCCTTTCTGCTCCGCCTCCTCTGCTGCTGTCTACCACAGCTGGAAAAGCCCAAGAGTGAATCTGGGATCAACATGGTCATGGTCTCAAGCCCAGGTTCTCTCTGCCACTTCTCAGGGGAATTCCTTTTCCTTCCACCTAATGCACTGCAGCTTGCTTCTTGTGTCACAACATAGCACATTGCTTTCAACATGCAAGACAAACAGTTCTGGTCACTACCAGCACATCATGGTTTTACAGTTTGGCACTCTAGAAAATCAGCAGTTTAAATCCACTTAAACATGAAATACAGTTAACAGGTTTCCAAGGCATCTGCAGTAAATGAGCTATACCCATACACTGCAAATACCCAAATGTGTAATCACAGCATCAAAGGGATGAAAAAAGGTACATTGAGAAAAGATATGTGAATCTCCTGCAACAGATAAAAAGGAACTCCACAAAGAAAAATGACCTGAAAAGACCCTAACATATTATTATTACTGAGTTACCAGAGTAACTTCTGAAAGTATGATCCCACCAGTCCAGATTGTATGCATGTACTATAATATACATAGCAAAATCCTTCTTTATATGGTATTTAGAGAACAACATGCATAGATACATTTACTTTTCACAGTCCATAGTATTGGATTGAAAATGCCCAGCAGTCACAGAATGATTCATCCTCACAAACGGATGGGATGGGGTCAGAATTTCAAGGTGAAAATGCATCAAGGGAGCAATTTTATGCATGTTTAGACAGAAATAAGTCCTAAACTCCAAACATTCTGGTGGATGCAGGGAGTTGTAGAACATCTTTCTATCTAAGCATGATTGGATTGCATCCTAAATCAGGGATGGGGAACCTGTGGCTTTCTAGGCACTATTGGACTCCAGTTTTTATCACCATTCGCCAACAAGAGCAAGGATGAAGGGAATAGTAGTCAGTATGTAGAAGGCCTTACCCTTCCTTTAAACAATTAAATGGATTCTAAAGATAAATAATTTACTGTTAACATTTTGACTGTAACTTTTTAAATCAATATTTCAAAGCACCCAATGCTTTTTTTTCCACAGAAAATTGCCTGCAAACATATGCTAGAAAGTGACCAGACTACACAATCTAACATCTGCCAGGAAGATAATGAAATAAGGTATTTTGATTTTATTTTCATTTCATTATGAGAAAATAACAACCAACCAACTATATTATTTGACCTCCCAGGCCAGCATATGTTCCTCAAGGTCATGAGATCATTCTGGTAATTAAAGATTGAAGCTGTCCAGACACCTGCAATGTATTGGATGGGGTAAAAATACCCAAATAAATAAAAATAAAATAAATAGAAATGTCCAAGAGAGAACTCTGAGATATGTACTCTATGCCTTTATACTATGCTCCCTTAAGCTTACAATCCAAAATGCCTTTACAAGAGAGCAAGCCCTACGAACACACAGGGAATTACCTCTGAGTAGATACACACAGTATTGTGCTCCAAAATCAGAGTGCAACCTTTTCCTTGGTTCCAGATCTGCTACCATCCTTGAGCCAACATGATTAGCTTGGTTTGTTTGTTTGTTTATTTATTTATATAAAGTTTTTATATGCTGTTCCAATACTAAAAGTCTCTGGATGGCTTACAAAAAATAAAAAACAACACAGCCATATACAACAGCCAACATACAACACACTGTATCCAATAATGATGGTAAAACAGGGATACAACCAATTAACTGTTAAAATATTGGGAAAATAAAAAGGTCTTTGTCTGATGACGAAAAGAATAAAGTGATGGCGCCAGGTGAACCTCCCTGGGGAGCGTGTTCCACAATCGGGGCACCACCACTGAAAAGGCCCTTCTCTGAGTAGCTATCCTCCCAATTTCCTTCAAAATGGGCTCCCAGAGAAGGACCTCCACCTCAGATCTCAAGGGGCCGACCAATACATGGGGAAGAAGGTGCTCCTTCAGGTATCCAGGACCCAAGCCATTTAGGGTTTGCAAGAGTACCAAGGGCGAAATAAACCACTGTGGTTTATTTAATCCTTAGCATGTGCTGACACAATTTCCCTGATTGCAGGGTCTGGCACAGCTTGCTGCAAAGTCTGGATGGTTTGTTGCAGGGAAAAACAACCACCCAATATCCGATCTCCTGTTGCTAATTTTTCTGAGTTGATTACTCTCATCTCACACCCCACATGCACGCTCTGCAGCTTGAACAGTGGTTATCATCTGAACCAGTCCACTGCCTTAATCTCGAGGGTCATTCTTATTCTGTTGCCTTAAGTGCAGAAAGCCCTTATTTTCATACAGTTATGCTTTAAAACAAGTCAATGAATCCCACAGGATACCTCTCTACACATGCCTATTTTTTTTCCTCTACCAGGAAACTTTCAAGTACGTTACAATTGATTTTTCTTGCAATGTGATAAAAGGCACTTTGTATTTTGTTTGTCTTACAGTATGCTGCAGCAAAAAGAGAAAACGCTTCTACAAGTGTAGCTGTTGCTTTTTTATATATACACTGTTACTGTTTCACATTTGGGTAAGTTTTGGAAAAGAAATGTTAACTGACTTTGCTGTCAGCCTATACCAAGGAGCAGTCTGTTGAAATTTCTAGTAAATATTTTGTAAGCTTTCCCATCCTCCTGAGCTCACCACTCATTCCAGCAACCCCAGCAAGTGGGACTCCCATCCTTTGAACCACAGCAGCCTCCAGCTGATTGGTCCACTCTGGTCCCGAGGCAGGGTCCCCCTTCCTGTCCCAAGTGCACCTGCGTGTCTGCAATGCTTCTCGGTCCCCACAAAGGTTTTTATTAAATGAAAATAAACAGTTTTGCTGCAGTTCTCCCCTTCTGTGGATTTTTGCACCATCTCTCAGTTTCCAAAAGTAAATAGGGAAATGGACATATTACTCGGCCAATGGAAATAGAGTGAACAATGGCACATCTGTTGCTATGGGGCTGAGGACAGTAGAAATTAAGCAGCCAATTCTGTGGCTGCTGTTGCCAAGGAATTCTGTGATGTTTTCATACCAACAATGGTAAAATGATACTCCTGAGTCCCAGTGACCAGAGAAGCTAGCTGTGGAACCCTTATTGATTCTTTCCATGTTTGTAGAAAACTAATCCGAATCCAGAACTGGGTCTGGACAACACAACAGATCATAGTGATAGGATTTCATCATGGCTGCTTGTGTCATGTAAGCCCACCCATAGTCTACAACAGGGAACCTTTTTTTTTTGCTCCCCTTAAGACAGAAATTAAAGCCGGAAGACAGTGGATCATTGGATGAGATGTTTGAACTTCAGTGCCTTTGGAAAAGCACATAGTCTCTTCTGAGACTCTAGAATTTAAGCTAGTGCTGCCACACTACTTGCCTCTGTGCAGTACTGTTATAATGAGAATGGACCTACCATAGCTTTCCGAGTGATTTCCAGACCCCTAGGCTACAGGCTGTTTGAAGACCTAGCCAGTGGAAATAACAATGAAAATTTATATTGTATTAAATGAGAAGGATGGGCAACATTTGTCCCTTCAGATGTGGTCAGATTGCAGTGGCCATTAGCCCTAGCCAGCATTGGAAGTTGCAGGCCAACAATGTCCAGATAGTCACAAGTTGCTCACCCCTGTATTAAGTGATGCAGAACAAGATGAAGAAAATGATTATGGCTCGGTTGTAGTGGAACAATCTACCATTTGCTATATGGCAGACAGGGCATATCTTTTAGGATTGAGTGCTAAACCTTTCCCAGAGAATGTCTCACTTTCTTCCTAACATTCTGATAAACATTAGATTTGCCCAACATATTTAAGAGGTGATATTTTGTTAGGAGAGAAAGAGAGAGAGAGAGAGACATTGAGAGAGGAGAGAGAGATAAAAAGGAAGCTTCCTGTCTTTAAATAGGCACTGCTTTGTCAACCTTAAATAAATTTCTTTCTCTCCTGCTGGTTTTCTTTCTTCCTATCTCTCTCCCTTCTTCCCTGATTCCCTGAGACAGCAAAACTTCACAACCTCCACAAATGCAATTTGGCAGAACAAGATGTGCCAAAAATGCTTCAAGCCAGGGAATTTACTTGTTACATTAATTGAAAGTGAGTTTTACTAATTTGTGAAACTGAAAGATTTTCTATGACTGTGTCCCTAAAATAATTGCATTTTTCTCCCTCTCCCCTCTACCAGGCAGCTAACAGTTACATGTTTGCTTCATAAATGAAGCAGCTTTAAGCATATTTGTATTCCTTTTGGAGTGACAGACTGAGTCTGCATCTGTTGTTGTCGCCCGTGACTCCATATTGAGAAAATAGACATGCGGATAAAGGTTGTGCTACTGTGAAACCAATGCTGAATTTAACATCATCAAAGAAGAGTCTGCACAGAAAAGGACCGTATTTTCCCATATATATATATATATATGTATATATATATGCGCGCAGACAAATGTGTTTCTTTGCATCTTGGGATTTGCAGTGGATTCGGGCAAAAGGAATAAATACATGGCTCCAGATTCATGTGATCGAAAACAAAAAGTCATAAGGAAGTTGCATTTTGTGTGCAAATGGAGACTCGGAATAGGAGAAAAAAGTGGAAATGGATGAGAATTACAATCTTCAGTACTGTACATAAGATTTGCAGAAAGGTTATGCAAAGGACTAATGAGCTAGCTTTCTTTCAACAGCAGAACTGGGTTCGCATTGAGGGACGGTTACACATGAAATAAGGTTGGATATTTTTGAGCTATACATGAAATAGTATTCACAGAAAGCCAACATACACTTTGGTTGTGTTGTTAATATCCATGGAGAAGTAAACACTGGAACATGAAAACAGGGCAGTTGTAATAGGATAAGCATCGACAGCTGGCTGTAGAGAGATGGCCCTGATGTTCCAGTATGTCAGTCACAAAGTGGAAAAAGTCAACTTTGGGGACAAAAAATGATCATGAAGCCTATTTAAAATGCTTAGGATTATGTACCACTCTTCTTGATATTTATAAAAAAAATCAGGACATATTGAAGATACAAAGGCTTAGGATAGCTTTACTGTATGTCATTTAATATTTGCAAATGAATTTTAAAGTAATACACTTTTTCATCACTTAGCATTCTCCATCAATTATTATTTTAGTCCAGTTCAAATAAAAAGGAAAATTTTCTTAATAGTTGTCAGCCTCTTGAAATTTTTTTGCAACAAAACTGTGGATAGCAAATCTGAGATAGAAAAATAATGCATTGTTCAAAAGTTGAAAAGAGGACACTGAACACTCACAGTCGGTATAGAATCAGTTTTAAGTTATTACCTTGCTCAAAATAGATTCACAGTACTTTGTGTTCTGTGAAATAGTTGAATGTTCCATGTTGCAAACTACTAATACAATAAAGGTGCAATCTTGTGCGTGCTTAGGTAGGAAAAAAATCTCTCTGAAAGGGATATTGGGAAATGTATGTTTTTTTTCTGTCTAAATATGCATAGGGCCACACCCTGATAAGTTTAAAGTCTTATAACTTTAAACTCTTGTTACTTTTCATTTACAATACATTGATAAAATTATCTCTGCTTAATAAATAGTTTATTTAAAGATTTTCACAGAAGTATTTATTGTCATATCTGTCACAAAACCTTAGAAATAATATATGGAAAATTATAGAACATATTAGGATTAATTAAAATAACACAAATCTGGCATTCCTAGAGCCCTGGTCCTTTTATTGTTGGCTAGTGATGATGCTGGCATAAGGACTAACACGCAATATGCGGAAGAGAGAACTGCAGCTGAAACGTACATTTTGGATGCATACACCAATCAAAATAGCAAAATTGATCTCTTAAATGGCATCCAGGGCCACCAGTACTCATGTGTGACTTGTTTCCTATGAATACAGCTGGATGAGGACCAAACATTGTGACTTTTCAACCTATTGTTAGGGACAGCGCCAGACAAAGTTAAGGTTATCAGGCATTTACAGAGCCACGTAAAAAATCCACGTATAATCCTACTGGCATTAGCAACCTTGCATAGCCATCCTTGTTCTTGTTTTGAATGTAAATAACCTCTGTCAGCACGATGCAGCATAGCATCCCCTCAGAACGGAGGCTGAATAATCATTCTGGCAGTTAGTAGCATTTCCTTGACATTTTCTGCTTAAGCGATTTGGCTGAGTGGTTTGGGCCTTCTCAGGTAAATGTCACAAAGATGAAATATCTGGAGACTATTTCACTACTTAGGGTTATTGTTTGGTAACCTAATTTTGACAACTGTAATGGGTTGGGTGGAAATGTTCCCTCCCTCCAGAAGAAACTTTTTCATCAGAAGGAGGCAACCTTTGATTGAACCTAATGTGTATGTTTGACACCTAGTTTCAGTTGTGCATACAGCTCATCCCCCCTTCTTGTGATTTCAAAGGACCCATGGACAGAAATTGAGTTCCATTGTCAGACCTATGGGACTCACCTCCACTGCAAAGGTGATGCAGATGTCCTTGTGCCAGAACCAGAACCTAGCTCTGTCAGAGCAGCCCAGTGATCCGGATTAGGTTAACAGTAAATTGTCCACCTCATGGCAAGGTAACAGAGCTGTGTAGCTTTGTGAGACACAGGATTCTTTTCTAGCTTCAGCAGTGAAATTGTATGTGTAATGTAGCTGCTCTCTAACATTTCCTTAAGTGACCATTCATACCAGCCTGAATAGAGGGCAAATAGTATTTCAAAAGAAGCAAAGGCAGCTTGTAAAAGCATATATGGAAGATCACTTAACATACATTAGCTACCCCTTCATGTTGTTTATACATTCTGTCCTATTTTGCATTGGGATTTTTATCTCTTAAAAGTGGTATATATATCTATTCAATGCATATTCAGAATCTGGATTGTAACTGGGTGGGTTTCTTCTGACTTTTTAATGCATGTTTAACAGTGGAGTGAGGGTGATGATCAATGTTTGCCATTGTAAGGGCAGAACCAAGGTTTGTTTTTCCATGTGCATGTGTTATTCTGAATTGGAATCATTTGAAGAGATTTATTTTTAATCCACAAGTTAGATTCAGAAATGTCCTTCCACAAGCAGAAAGCATTTTCCTAACAACACAAAATCCATGCACAAGCTATTATGCAGTCTGTTTTAAAAGGCTTTATACATCTCCAGATGCTTGTTTGCACAATATCTGTGCAGTCTTCCACAAGCTCTTCCACAGCAGTCTGCAGAACGTCTCAGAACTTCTTCCACTGGTTTATCTGGATTTAACCCTTCTTATTGAATGGCAGGTACAATTTTATTTATTTATTTGCTTTATATGCCTTTAAAAGAAGAAGATTAATAAATTTTAAAATGTTATCAGTCAAGCGTGTATTCCTATGCATGTTAAGACAGAAAAATGTCCTACAGTTCCCAGTATCCTTCAATTAATTGTAGGATATTTTTTACCTTCAACATGCATAGCATTACACCTTAAATCAATTTCATTTTATTAACTGCTTGTGGAAAGTGCATATGATGAAGTCCTTGAGATTGATGTGTTGTTATACTATATGGAAAGAGAAAGGAACTAACTACAGAAAGCAAAATGCTATTTTACAAGGGAGTTTGCTTGAATAAGTGGTATCCATATCATTGCAAGATTGTTTTAGAACTATGCTTAATACAAATGTGCCGTGCCATCTCCTTTTCTTGCGCTCTCTTTGTGTGTGTGTGTGTGTGTGTGTGTGTGTGTGTGTGTATACATACACCCTTTCATATATCTATATACACACACAAATGTACACATATTCATTTCTGAATATGGTGGGACTCTCCAGACAATCCATTATACACATGTTATTTCAGAAAACTACATTTGTTTTATTCCAACTATGGAATGAACCTGAAAATTGTGTAATAGTTTCCCCTGCATAAGTTGTAATTTCATTCAACTGTATTTTTAAAAGAACATGTATACATAATTATTAAATATATTTAAGTCCTTAGAACTCAGAAACTTCAGGCTCCTCTTATTGGGCAGACAACACTTTGTTGGCTGGTTCATGGGTTGTAATTATGTACATTAATACAAAAATCAACACAATCTTTTGTATCAGTATCTGTATTCTGACAGAAGGTTAATCATCCAAATTCATAAAATGTAATGTGCAGCATATGTGTCTTCTAAAAATATAGATATATACCTTGTCCTTTTTATACTGTTTGATTCTGGACTTACAGATAGGTCTCATACAGACAGGGTCCTGCATGCACACTTCCTGGGTATACAATCTGGGTGGAATGGTTAGCATCCTTCCTAGGTGGGATGATTGGTATCCTTAGGACAAGGATATAATATGTGGTATCTGTAAGTATCCTTGTGCCCTCTGAAACCTTGTTTTCTTTTTTATTTGCAGTTATAACCAAACAGAACAAAATGGGAGAGGGGACTAAAAACAATAGCACCACAAACAAAATAATGAGAAAAAGCCAGTTAAAGCATATCCAGATTAAAACCACTGTTCACAACATAACCTTTCTGTTAAAAAATGTTTCTGTTTCAGAGAGAGAGAGAGAGAGAGAGAGAGAGAGAGAGAGAGAGAGAGAGATGTACTATATATAATAATGCAGTAAATAGTCTCATAGAATAGTAAAGTTGGAAGGGGCCAAGAAGGCCATCAGATCCAACCCCCTGCTGTTGCAGGACACCAAGTTACACCATCTCAGATGGCTGCAACATAATTCTGTTACTTTGTGTACTTGGAGAAGAAGCAACCACTATTGGGCAGCAGTCAAGTGAAAGGAGGGCAGGTAAGAAGGTGATTGTCAATACTTGTGATACAAATAAACACAACTCTATCAGAGGGCACTGGTCCAAACTGTTGAACTTTTCTGGAGGGCACAAGCCACTTGAGGTCTCCTCAGTCACCAGAAGGTAGAGACATGTAGCAAATGTTGGTGCATGTTCTACCTGGAGAAGGATTCCTCAGATGAAGAAAGCCAGTGCAGTGGGCCCCAGCCACAGTCAGACACAGGGATTGTGGCTACAGGTGACTACCCTCCATCAGAGGAGGAGCCAGGACCCTCTCGGGCAGTCCCTGGGGTTCCCCAAGAGCAGGAGTCTGAGGCAGAGGGAATTCACCCCTTAGAAAGAAGAAAGAGCACACAGCTTTGACAGGAGTCCAAGCAGCCTGAAAGGACAGTTTTCCATGAAACAGCACACTGACTCAGTTAGTCAGCTGTGCTGAGTTACAGCTGGCTATAAATTAGTTCAGACAGAGCTTTTCTTTGTTTCAAACCTCAATCATTGTTATCCACATACTCGGACTAGGTTAAAACGAATCAGTATCTAGAGTCCTTGCTAGTTTACTGGACATTGTTTCAGGCACCCCACCTGACTTGAAACTTTGGATGCACACAAACAGTATGGCCTGGGCTCTTGACAATCCCTAATAAAGTAACACAAAGACTGGTCATTTGTGGGCACAGGGTAAGAGAACTGAATCATTCTCTGACCGTGATTGGTGGTCTTATTCACTGCATCCAGCATCAGATTTTCCAAAACAAAGACTGGCTGAGGTATTTACACCTAGAGGAAGATCACCAGCTTGGAGCTTCACCAGACGGCCTTTTGTTTTGTTTGTTCCAATCTTTCTAAATCACCCTTCATCTAGGGAATGCATGCTGAACTCTCAGACTGTGAACCTGATCTGGTAAGCTGGATCCTCCAGTCTGGCTTGCAGATCCTCCTTGGCAACAGGAGGTGATGACTCCAGTCTCAGTGGGGTAGTCTATCCCCACTGCGCTTTAGTCAGAACTTTGAAGGAGCTGTCCATGGTGCTGAACCTTACATCGACAACCCCAGATTCATCACTATGAACAGCCCCTTTACAAATCAGTCTGAGACACAGAGCAGATGCACCATCCAAATGAAATTGGAGCTCCCAGCCACTGCTGCTCCTCTGGTTCCTCCAGGGACCAAGGCTGTGAGTATATTCCCAGATGATGGTGTATAAAAGCATGGATAAAATTATAAATAAAACTGAATCATTCTTAGAACAACCACCTAAAACAATTTTGATAAAAAGAAAATTAGATAGGGGAAACTTTACTAATTTAAATGCCTTGACAATTAAAAATACCTTAACTGGGCACCATATACTGTCAGCACTAGAAGTACTTCTTTGGAAAAGGTGTCCTAACCTCATGAGAACATTGTGGAAAAGTTCCTTTGTAATTACATAAAGTCTCTCTCCTAAGCAAGGGCACTCAGAAAAGTCACTGGAGAAGATCTTAAGGCATGGATCAGCGGGTACACATATTTGAATCCCAAGTCACTTAAGTCTTTCATTAATTTAAGCACTTACATAATGATAAGAACCAACTTCCTGAATTGTGCACGGAAGCAGATAGTGGCCATTT